CTGTTCGATGTCCAAGGGACAGGTGAAACCCGTCCAGACGAGCACGAGCACACGCGCAGTTAACAAGTTATTTCGCGTGTATCTCGACTTGGGGGGAAAGATGAAAACCAGGAGCATTGGTGGCAACTGGTGGTACACACTGATCATCAGAGACGATTCCTCCCGTTGGACGCTTGTTTTCTTCTTGAAGCACAAGTCTGACGCAGCGGTTGGGTTTGAGAAGTTCCTGGCGGACTACCGAACGAAAGGGGTTCCGTGTGAGTCTATATCGCACGTACCGACGGTGGCGGCGAGTTCCAGGGGCAGTTGCGGAAGTTTGCCGCAGACACGGCATCAAACAAGAGTTCACCCCCCCTCACACCTCAAAATACAACGGTGTAGCAGAGAGAGCGCTAGGGTTGATCACTGATACCGCGCTTGCGTCACGCATCCAAGCGANTCTATATCGCACGTACCGACGGTGGCGGCGAGTTCCAGGGGCAGTTGCGGAAGTTTGCCGCAGACACGGCATCAAACAAGAGTTCACCCCCCCTCACACCTCAAAATACAACGGTGTAGCAGAGAGAGCGCTAGGGTTGATCACTGATGCCGCGCTTGCGTCACGCATCCAAGCGACGCAACTGTTCCCCGACGCACCGAACCACCCCGGGTTGTGGGCCGAGGCCATTTCGTGTGCATGCCATCAGCTGAACTGCACCGCCACTAAATCAAACGAGGGAGACAAATCCGCCTACGAGATGTTCCACGACTCCCCACCGCCTGTCGGGNCATTTCGTGTGCATGCCATCAGCTGAACTGCACCGCCACTAAATGAATCAAACGAGCGAGACAAATCCGCCTACGAGATGTTCCACGACTCCCCACCGCCTGTCGGGTCTACATACCCGTTTCTCAAACCAGCCGTGTTCAAGTCGAGAAGAAAAGCAAAGTCGCAACCCAAGGGCGAAAAAGAATGGTCCCTTGGTCCTGCCCACAATCACCCCCGTGACTGCGTTCGCATGCAAACCGAAGCTGGAACCGTAATCACCACCCGAAATTTCACCTGGCGCCACGTGCCCGCTGCATCGCCCGCTCCCCCGCAGCTGCCACCTCTCGCAGATGACGAGGAGGGCGGGGAGGGCGAGAGCAGAGTGGATGCATCACGCTAAGGTTGGGGGGGGGAGAGAGACTCAGAGAGTGAGTCCGACCTCGACGTGATGGAGGCTCGTGGGCCAGGGCAAGCGACGCCGTTTGTGCGCGAGGAGGCGCCGACGGCACCCGGCAACGGGATTCCGGGGGACGGAGGCAGCGTTCCCCCGTCGCCCTCTTCGGGAAGGGGCAACTTCGGCGGAGGCAGTGACAACCCCACCGACAGCAGCAGCAGCAGCAGCAGCAGCAGCAGCAGCAGCAGCAGCAGCCCGAGCAGCAGCAGCAGTGACGCCGGCGGTGCCGGCGGCCCGGGCGGCGAAGAGTCCGGCGACCCAGGTGGGGACGGCGGTAGCGATGGTGATCCCGGCGACTCCGAGAACCTCGAGGAGTTGAAGTATGATCCAGCCGACGACCGCTACCCCCGCGGGATAGAAGGGAAGGAACTCCTCTGGGGCGCCGCGAACGCTGGCCCGCTGCGCCATGGGCTTGAGAGTGGCCGCACGCGGAAGCAGACCCGGGAGATGCAAGGTGCCGGGGAGATGCCGAGGCCCGGAGAAACAACGGACCCGGAAGAGGCATTGCTGGCGACCATCCTGGAAACTGGCGGGACGGGGACTGTTGAGGACTACATTTGCAACTCGCTTGTGAAAGAGCAGTGGGACGAGGAGCAGACACGCCGTACGGAGGAGATGTACAGGCGCGAGGTGCAGGAGGTGTTGGGCCCGGAACAGCAGGCGTTCGGGGCCGAGGTCGACGCCAGCGGGTCTTCGCAACCACTCCCAGACCCACAGCTAAGTATGACCTCGCCAATCGGGCAGAAGCCGAGTGATGTGGAAGCAGTACCGATGACGTACAAGGATGTGATGTGTTCCAAGTACAAGGTTTTCTGGGAGGCGGCCATGAAGAAAGAGATAGATGGCCACGACAAGACTGGAACCTTTACCAAGGTTAAGGAGCTGCCCGAGGGGCGGAAGGCCATAGGTTCAATGTGGGTGTTCTCTTGGAAGACGAATGAGAAGGTCCTGATAGTCGACTTCAAGGCCCGTATGGTTGCGCGGGATTTCTCTCAAATCCCCGGCATCGACTTCCACCATTCATCCTCAGCGTTCCCGTCTGCAGCGTCCATCAAGACGGTGATTGCCGTAGCCACTGAAAAGGGCAAGAAACTCGCTCACTGGGATGTGAAGCAAGCGTACATCCACGCTAAGCTGAAAGACGAAATATACCTCAGGTTCCCGGAAGGCTGTGGTAGCATGTCCGGCAAGGTGGTCAAGGTTGAGCGTGCCCTGTATGGCCTAAAGCAGAGTGGCCGTGAGTGGGGGTTTGAAGCTGCCGATGCCCTCATCGAGAATGGATACGAGCAGGGCAGGGTTGACCCGTGTCTTCCGGAAGGTGGTGGATGGAGAGGTCGTAGGTCTCATAGTGATGTACGTTGATGACATCTTAGTGGCGGCAGACGAGGGAGAGCGAGAGGAGTTGTTCGCTTCCCTCAACAAGAAGTTTCCGGTGAAAGATCTGGGGTAGTGTACCTGGTACGACGGGTGTGCTATCGCCATCGATGTAGAAAATGGCATCACCAAGCTGTCCCAGACAGCGTACATTGAGAGTATGCTGGAGCGGTTTGATGTGACCACGACCGCTATCACCCCTGCTGCCACCGATGCCGACCTAGGGCCGAAGAGAGATGACGAGCCCGCGGTGGATAAGCCTGTGAGGGAGGCGATCGGATGCCTGATGTGGACGAAGCTGACGAGGCCAGACATCGCCCTGCCTCGGAACAAGCTCCAGAAGATCGCCCACTCACCCACCGACAGGATATGGAACGCGCTTGTGCGGATCATGTCCTACCTGAACTTCACGAAGGACTTCGGCATCACCTACGTACGGGGGTCAGGACTAGACCTAAGCGTGTTTGTCGATGCCAGGTACGCTGACAACGAAGTAGACAGGCGTTCTACGACCGGGCTAGCTGTGACCGTAGGTGGTACCGTAGTGTGTGCATCCACCAAGACGCAGCCAGTGACGGCACAGTCGACCTCGGAAGCAGAGTATACGACAGCCGGGGAGGGCGTGAAGGAGGCGTTGTATGTGCGTAGCGTTCTGTCGTTCATAGCGCCCGAGACGAGTGGGGCGAAGATCAAGGTCCTTGAGGACAACAAGGGGGCTCTCGCCTTAATCGAGAACCCGTTCAGCTCAGCGAGGAGCAAGCACATCGACGTACGGTTCCATTTCATTTGCGAGCTACTCAAGTCGGGCAAAGTCACTGCAGAGTAAATTCCGACTGGAGAGCAGCACGCCGACATGCTGACCAAGGTCCTTGGCAGAGAGAAGTTAGAGTACCACCGGAAGGCTCTGAACCTACCGATGTAGTGTTATCTTGTTCTGTTTGGTTCATGTGGTGGTTTTAGCACTTGACATATATGACCATGGTACGTCACGCAGGAAGCGTTGTGCCGGTGCGTCACCCGCGGCTGGAGCCTAGNGTCGAGCCTGGTGTTGTTTTGAGTCCCTGTGGTAGATCAGGGGTATCCATGCCCCACGTTAGGTATGCCATTCGCGTGCAACCGGGGAGGGTGTTCGTGTGTTTGGATACGGACTGGTAAGATCTACCGGCAACAACAGAGGGCACGCAGATGGGGCATATGTACACCTTGAAATGGTTGCATGTGCGGGGACCCCTCGAACTCCAAAGAGGGCTTCACTTCTCCTTACTTCTCTTGCGTGTCTAATACAAGAAATAAAACGTCTCCCCCTTCCAAGAAAAGGACATATACGAACACACGTCACACACCTGTGTGAGGGGACCACGTTGGGGGCGGTCATCCCTGAATTTGTCTGCCCCGAAGCTCGACACGGAGAAGAGTAAGACCAGATGGATAAGAGGGGGTTGCATGGAACATTGTACTGCGAGCGACGTTTTGTTTGTCATGGGTATGAAGGACATAAAAAAAGGCACGTCCACCGGCCATACAAACACCGGTCACGATGAGGTGAGCGAAAGTTCGTGTCGTAACGCGTCGCTGTTGGGGGCATGCTCGCGCAACAATATGCAAAGATGTTTCGCCCCTCATTGGTTCTCGAATGCAGCCTATGTCGAAACACTCTTCTCCGCCGTACGGTGATGTGTTCTGAAGATTTGTCGACCATGGCAATGAGAAACCTCAAAATGTTTCACTCTGGGACCAGAGTCGGACCCACACCTCTAACAACCGCAAAGTCCGTACACTGAACCACCACAGCCACCGGGGCGAGTCGTTTCGGTGCCACAAGCAAGTCGTGGCGGTAGGAGAATATATGTCGCTGAGCGGGATAAAACATCTGGTTGGGTATGTGATTCACACGCACTCACACACGAATGAATACGGTTGCCTCTTATCCCCGCTCCTGGCTACACCGATCCCTGGCCTCCCACACCTTGAACTTTCCAAGTCTCCAAGTTCTTTGAGTCTTCACCGGACTCTGCTCATCGCCAAATCCAGCCACTACCTGCGTTCCCCCCAATACCGCCATTTCGCCTCCACCCGAGTTCCTCGCTTCAACGATCGCATTCTCCCGACTCCAATCAAATATATTTGATTTGGCGGCACACGCCACCAATATGTTGGCAGTTTTCCCGCCCTCCCCCCAATTTCAAAGCCCGCTTCCATCCGAGGCCCCAGGGAATATTTATTTCAATCCACCGGTTTGGCGGCACTCATTGTCCGGTTCCGCCTAAACGCACCCCTTGCCCATCCTTCCCCCAACAATACCATTTCGCCCTGCAAAAACCTCATGGCCTGACCAATGCCTCCGACCTCCAGTACTCTTCATTCATTCCCATTTGCTGCGTGATTGCACTCTACATCGCGGAATAAAATGTCCGTGGTGTTGCTTGCACGAACTTGAGTGAATGTGTAACTATGATGCAAGCAGACAGAAAACACCTTGGCAATTGCCGCGCCTACGAAAATTGAGCGGGACAGTGTGAATGATGAAGCATGTATCACGACGAATGAGTAGGTGACAAGGTTCACACGAACTGAAGTGAAAAGATGTGAATCATAGCTTCGACGAAATTCAGTGCAAATGGTGAGAAGGTAAGCTCAAACGAAGACCAGTGAAAATATGTGAGCAATATTACCCATAAGAGGTGGAGAGGAAATACATACGCTCAAACTCAGCATTTACAAACATATCAAACAATACGCACAAAGACAGCAATGTGTGTGATGGAGCGGTGGCACTAGAAACGTGACAAGGCTCACGAGAATTCGAGTGAACATGTGAAGGTACAACTCACACTATATCGAGTGAAGTGATGAATAGGTAGGCTTATTCGAAGAGGAGTCACAAAGTGTGAGATATATGACCAAAACGAGTGAAAACATATGCGCTAAACCCCATTCATCACTAATATGCCATGTTGTGAAACTGTATTAACGCCTGAGACGACGCAAAGGAAAGCATGACGATTGACTCAAGTCCCACGCAACACAAAGATGCACTCTGCCAGGGAAATGAGGATTCGAAGCATGTTACTCCGCACACTATTCACCGCAATTCTGCTACAGCATGGCCCGCAAAATCGAATTTGCCACCATTAAGTAATATTGTTTTTTTCCTGTCGAGCCAATGTCGCTGGGGGCTTAGATGCTAGGATCTGGATATGATCATAGTCCCCCCTTATGACTCATTTGTTCCTGGTGAGATTGATAAGTTAGACATTAAGCGCGACAGCCCACGTTGGTTCACGGATGGATGCGCTGCCATCATTAAGCCCGTCACAGAAGGGTGCATGGCTTTATGCTAGAGTTCCGGACGCTTGTCGTGTAAGATCCCCATATCCGAAGCACAGGTTCCTGTGAAGCTGTCCGAAAGTGGACTTTCATCTGGCAGTGCCCCAACCTTGGCGCCGGATGGTGCTCGTTGTGATCTTGGGGAGGCCTTTCAACTCTTTGTGGGTCCAGGTTTCGCTCTGCTTCTCCAATACTGTTGCTTGTTGGATGCACTCCGCACAAAAGATCGAACTAATAACGATCCGCATTGTAGCGAACACATGTATGTGGTCTATATGGTTCAGCGCGAAAAAAGTCTGTGGGGCATTACTGTTCAATCTTGTATGGGCGTTCAAAACTGATTTTTGTCCAACTTAACGAAAACTACCCCGCCCGCCGTCCTTGACTCCCCCCCTCTAAACTTTCTCGTCCACAGCCCCATAGCTGAAGATTCGTTGTCCTAAATGAATGAGATCGGCGAGAGTTCACCCTGTTTTTTTATTTCTCCGAACTACTGTACCCCGTCACAGCGTGTTTGCTCGCGATGACACGCTGCGGCGGAAACCCATAACTGCTTGCATGCAACCGGAACACGAGGCGAATAGACCATTGCATGTCGCTGCTTCTACCGTTTGAAACTGCCAGCAGCAGCGCACAATAACTCATTTGTGAGGTTTCGACGATGCCGTTCTCTCTCTCTCTCCCTCCCCCTATGAAGGAACATTTCCGAATCGCGAAACGAATCCGTGGATATCCGAACGAGGCAGTCCCCTCAAAGGTTCATATTACTCCACACGGGTTTACGGGGCGCTCATACTTCGTACAGGGTACATCTAGTACATTGGAGTGACTTCGTTCTCGGTCACTGTACTTGCGAGCCAACCGCTGCTAAACCCTCCGCGCAACGAACCCAACAACTCAAATTGACACCGGATAAACCTACGAAACAGTCAGGCTTCTTCCACAACCACCGGAGTGGGTGAAAATTATCTACAGTCAGTGGATTTTCTGCTGAAATATTTTCAAGCGTCAGGCGACTTAAACAAGCTGTGTAGGGAAGCCGGGATCATCTCCACGACGAGAGGCGTTGAGGTCGACGTCTCCGTCAACGTTCCGAGCCGACCCCGACCCCGAGGGCGGAGCACGGTAAATCCTTCTCTTCAGAACGTCTTGGTAGGACCACACCACCTACAGGGTGGGCGATACAATCCTGAAACGAGAAACAGACAACGAAGAAGAGCAGGGGCGAAAACGATACAGACGGCAGAACCATTGGTTTCAATACCGAATATTTTGCAAGATGGTCCTAACTCTCTTTGAGCTGTGAGTCTTACGTCGCCTACGGGCGAATCCTAGCTCTGCAATGCCACAGCAACACTAGCCCCCCTCTCTTGGGAAAAATTTGCTTTGGAAGGTCATCATAGGTGTGTCACACTCGCCTTGACGTGGTAGAGAAACCGGAAGGGCTTGAAAGGATATAAGAAGAGCCCGAGAGGATACAAGAACGTGTGTGCCACAGGCCACTTGGCCGTCATGGCCAGTCCAAACAGGAACCTCGGCAGCCAAGTCCACAGATACCATTTCGCCGCCCTCGCGCTGGAAGCGAACACGCCCCACAAGCCGATCGCGCTGCAGATCATGCCTACCGCAGCTGTTTTTTGCGGGCATCGACATACCCAGGCCCGGCACCAAGAGCGTGATCGATTTGATTCGGTGCAGAGACAGATATGGGCCCGACCGGGCATCATGTACCTGCGCCCCCCGCCTGATGCGGAAAAAAAGCGCTATTCCTAGACCACTGGTTGATGGCTAAATACAAGCCCGA